ACTATGAGATTTGGGAATGACCCCTCATAGTCCCGGATTGCAATAAATGTGACTCTTTAATTCGACTTCTTGAGGCGTCCTTCTGTGATTCGCGGGGTACATTACAACAATATATATTCTGTTCAAATGGATACTTTAAATCAATTACACTTTTAGCAAACTTTTAAAGATGTTTAACACTTGCCACTTCTTTATAATTCAGCTGTTTTATTATAAATTTTCTTGAGCACACCTATTGCTACTTGATCAGTATGCTGAAAATAATATATAACGATATATTACTTAAATATCTTATCATGTCCATGATCCATGTCATCATTTTGGCAGTTTGAACCTGGTGATGTTTAGAGTATTTACACCCAGGAAATTGAGAAATACTACAAACCGAGATTTCACTTAATGTGTTATTAGATGCTTAGACTTAAAGAACCCTGGTGCAGAATGTTAATAATGCAGATTAAACTTATAAGTGTATGGTATCAGTGGCTATTAATTGTCCATAGGATAAAAATTGAGAAAAGCAGTTTTCTTTCTAGAATTGAAAACCAATGGTTCCATATGGCAAAGAAGTCACTTGAGTCATTGAGGAAGGAGTGAAACTCAAACACATGTCTTAGATGCTGCACTGTCCTCCTATTGTTAAGAATAAATTAACTTAAAAAATAGGCAAAGGATATGAGCAGACATTTTAACAGATGAGATAAAGACAGTGTAAATTAATGCAAGCAGAAATACTCACCATCAAGAATTCTTAGGGAAATATTATTAAAACAAAAACAAGTTAACAGTACACTCATTTCCTGGCCTGCTATTTAAAAAAACAACCATCACATGTGCTGACAGGGTAATGTAAAATCTGGAATTTTCATTACTGTGGGTGGGTAGGAAGGCAAAGGGAATGACCATTTTAGATCACAGATCTGCATATCTTAAAATGTAACACGTTCACTGACACTGCAACAGTTAGATAAATAAAACATACACCTGTAGAAAGAACTGAATGCAATATTCCCAGCAGTTTTATTTATAAAACCCCAAATGTGGAAATAACTGAAAACCATATACAGATCAATGGATAAAGTGGTTATCCATAGAATACAATATTATTAACAATAAAAAATTAACTATTTACATAAACATTACGATTGAGTCTAAAAATACCTGTGTAGCAAGAAGAAAGCCAGTGTTTGTTAAAAATTATACACCTTATAGTTCCTATAAAATTATGAAAAATATGATCTAATCTATTGTAAGAGGAGGTAAATCAATGGCTGTATGGACGACTAAAGAATCCGAAAGATTATAAAAGGGCAAGAGGTAAATACAGGGTGTGCAAAACTAGGTTTAGAGTTGTAAGTACTGAAAATAATACAACTGTTAATAATGATAAAAGTATAAAGTCTCCATGGCTACTGTCTTTTTAAAAAATTTCTTTATTGATTAAGGTATTACATATGTGTTCTTATCCCCCCATTACCCTCCCAACCCCCTCTCCCCCCTGGCCACTCATGTCCTCACCCACCTGTTGTCTGTGTCTTATTTTGTTGGGGATGATCACATTCACTGAAAGGTCATTGGTTTGATTCCAAATCAGGGCACATGCCTGCCTGGGTCTGCAGTGGTGGGCGTGAGGGAGGCAGAAGATTGATGTTTCTCTCCTTCTGCCCTTCTCTCTAAAAATCAATGAAAATGCATTTTAAAATATATAACACTAGAGGCCTGGTTGATGAAATTTGAGCACAGGTAGAGTCCCTAGGCCTGGCCAGCGATCAGGGCTGCTCTGGGCCCTCCTTCCTCAGCTGCCAGCTACTGATCAGGGCTTTCCTTTGTTCATTGCCGCCCTCTGGTGGTCAGCACACGTCACAGTGAGCCATCCAACTCCTGGTCTCCTGGTTGAACTCCCAAGGTGACACTTTGCATATTAGCCTTTTATATATATAGTTATTAAAAATAAGAAAATAAATTCTGTGTTTTGCATATTCACAACTGTAAGCATACTTTTGCCCCACCATGGGTACGGGTAACAGAGAATCTTATTTCACATGTGACAGTTTCTGAGCTTTATCCATATGTTCAACCTCACAAAATAGTGCACATTAGAAAAGTACTTTTTGTTACATGTCAGTTATACATATACCTAAGTAAAGCCTTAAAATAGGTTCCAAACAAAAATATTCCTCTGTTGTTAGAAAATTAAGATGGCAACTCTATATAGAAATGACCATCTCTCTCCTCATTTCCTGAGAGAATCATTGTTGCCTCTGTGGCAGCAAATACTGTACAGAAGTGAAGACTTCTGCCATCAGAATGATCAGGAATGCTGAATTGTCACAAAACACACAACCCGGGGCTAATTATATGATGATTCCTCCTCTAGCTTTGAGTTCCTGCCTGTTGTGATAACCTTGAGGTGCACACCATAGAGGGGCCCAGGGAACCCCCAAAGCCATGAGATTATTTTCACAACCAATCACTTCAGCTACAAAAAGAACAAAAAAGCTTCAAAACTGGATCATTAGTGGATAATGTTCAGAAGAGGGAATTTTCATCCAATATACTGCCATCTCTTCCACTCACTATGAAAACAGAGTTTGTCTCAATATTAGTTGCACCTCACAGTGCTACAACAAATGAAACCAGCCTGTGAAATTTCACACATCATGGCACAGGGTTCCTTTGCATTATGTAAGACATACTATGAACAGAGAATATAATTCATATTGTTCACAGAGCACAACAAAGGACTCTTCTTCTGGGTGACCATTGACCTCACCAATAATACAGGCACCAGGCTAATAAATTATTAGAACCAAGTCATGCAGATTTTTGTTAAAGGACTTGGTCAGCAATACAAAATAAACCAATATTGGACAAAGAGTGATTTTTTGCCATTATTATGTGCCTTCCAAAGCGCAGAAAGTTTGGGACCCCACCATTTCTGTTCACCTCTGCGCGTGACAGATCACAACTATCCCTTCAAATCACCCCATGCAGTGAATATAATTCACAAAATTAAAGGTACAGAAGCAAAAGAACACCTTTACTAAAAGATCATAAACCAGAACAGAGGACAGCAAGCAGTTTGTAGGTTGGTGAATTAGAACCTAAAACGACTCATCAGAGGATAATGTGACAACAATGATAGAAGCACAAAAAAGGACTCCTCTTCTGGGGGACCACTGACCTCACCAACATTAGAGGCACCAGGCTGCAAATTGGAACCACAAAGTTATGCAAACTTTCTTTCATTGCCTCAGTCAGTGGTATAAAATAAGCCATTATTGGACAAATAGTGATTTTTCTGACATTATTATACGCTTTCCAAAGCACAGAAAATTTAGGACCTCATCATATCTGTTCACCTCACCATGATGATAGATCACAACTTTCATATCAAATCATCCAGAGAGTGAAATTTAAAAAAAAAATAAAGCTACAAAAGAAAAAACATCTTTACTAAAGATCATAAACCAGAACAGAGGACAGTAAGCAATTTGCAGGTTGGTGAAGTAGAAAGTAAAACAATTCATAAAAGCATAAAGTGAGACCCACAATGTCCCTGAAAGTGGTAGCACTCCTTAGCTGAGGATGGGTGGTCTGGACAAACCCTGGGTCAGATGCGTTTCCTCGTCAGAGAGAAAGGAAGGAAGATCCTGTCAAGAGCTTGAAGTAATCATAATGTTCTCAAGCACAAGTGAGAACACAGAATACATTTCCCCTGAGCACACAGGGTTTGTGACTGATACACACTCTTCAGCTGAGCCAGGTGGTAGAGGTGAAATCTCTTCAGCCACAAATGCTCACTGTGACACCAATCAGGTAGTAGGTCTGGGCATGTTAGCAAGTACAATACAACTCCTTCAAGCCTCACTTGTACCTGAAACTAATGAGGAATATATCAAAGTGTATGTTCCATTAAAAGGGGCTTAATTTCAGAAAAATAGGTTCCAAAGAGTCGCCTTCAGTGTTGTTATACTAAGTGAGAAAAATAAAACACTCCCTGCACATTTAACGCTTCTCTCCAGTGTGAACTCTCAGGTGTCTAATAATGCTAGATTTATGGCTAAAAGACTTCCCACATTCAGTACACTCATATGGCTTCTCTCCAGTGTGAACTCTGAGGTGTACAGTGAAGTGAGCCCTTAGAACAGCGATTCTCAACCTGTGGGTCGCGACCCCCTTGGGGGTTGATCGACCCTTTCACAGGGGTCACCTAACACCAATGGAAAACACATATATAATTACATATTGTTTACAGTAGCAAAATTACACTTATGAAGTAGCAACAAAAATAATTTTATGGTTGGGGGTCACCACAACAAGGAGCTGTATTAAAGGGTCGCGGCATTAGGGAAGGTTGAGACCACTGCCTTAGAGGAAAGGACATCCCACATTCTCTACACTCATACAGCTTTTCTCTAGTGTGAACTCTCTGATGTCGAAAGACGTTAAAGATTTGTCTAAAATTTTTCCTACATTTGTTACACTCATAAATCAGTTCTCCAGAACGGACACTTGGGCATTGAACAACTTTCAGGTTGTGGCTGGCAGCGTTTTCACATTCACCCCCGACGATGGCTTTTTCCACTGTGAAATTCTTGGGAAATCTCACTGCCACAGTGTAGCTCCTCAGGGTTGAGTGGCCTGGTGCTGGGGAAGCTCTGAGTTGTATTGCAAGTCTTCCCCAAACTCCGTGCTGGCTGAAGGCACCAAAGATAAGTAGAAGCTGGACCTGCTCACAAAGGAGGCCCTGTTCATAGCTTGTTTCCAGGGCCCCTGTCCACATTCATTCCTCTATTGCTGGTGAGGGTTTGCACTGAAACAGAAGTCTACAATACATGCATCACTACAGAAGACTTTCTGCTCAAAATATGCTACATGAGATCCAGTCAGGTGCAAAATACCTTTTAGCACAGAGAAACACTGCTTACACAGAGGGTTCTTCTGGGTGCCCTGACCTGCGACTCTCCTTTTATAGATACACTCTGATCAGAACAGGCCTCATCACCATCGATTTTATGTCAACAACCTGAAAAGTGAGAAAAGGGGAGGAAATGAATGTTGAATGTGGTGACAGGGAGAAGTCCCATTACAAAAATGTGTTTCACATCACATGTTGGTTCCATGCAATTGTCTGAAAATAAGAGATGTGCAGGAAGGATTAATAAGAGATTCTAGTGACTTTCTGGGCTAATGAAGATCACAAAATAGGGAGTCCTCACCAGAAAAATGACACAAACATGGAAAGCACCACATGGATTAGACTATGGATCTCCAGCTCATCATTCAACTAACAGCATTAAGCATGGCTTGTCTGCTGAGGATGGGGTCCAGCTGTACAAGAGATTGGTTAGGTCTTACTCCAAGTAAAATTCAATAAGGGAGTAGCTGGTTTCAAGGACTCATTAGCACATATGTGCACCTCATAACACATGTGCAAGTCGATGTTGCAGAATACTGCAGAGGCAGTAGTGCAGAGGAACAGGTGATGAAGAGGTGGGCAGTCAGCACTGATGCAGAGCAACACAGCTTGCTCTAGTGTCAGGGCCAGCCTGACAGGTTGAACCGGGCTGA